AAGTCTATTGATGTTCTTTATCCATGCCTTCTTCTCTCTATATCTTTTAGCAAGCGATGCATTAAATATTTCTTTTTGGATGAATTGGTGCACTTGGGTAACAATAAGTCATCTTGTACCATGTAAATAAATTGTATTTCTATAGTACTTTTATATGTAATAATTAATAAACTGTCGCAAACCTTATTTTGAGGTTAGAGAGTAAATATTAGGTCATCTAAAAAGTATCCGCGGTTTTTTGTCACTAGATATCTAGTGACAAAGTACCGCGGATACTTTTTAGATGACCCAATATAATCACCCAGTAGCGACAGTAAACTTTTTTGTGATTTGCAATTTTTTAGTGCGCATGTATCAATTTGTACACTTAGGAATATGGCGGATGTATTAGAAGAGAGCTTAATAGAAATTCAAATTTAAGAGCCTGTCCTGTTATAATTACACTTCACAACATGATAGTGAAGCATGTGACCTAAGCCTGAATCCTTATATGGGCAACAGCGCTTTGACACAGAACGTTGATTGGTGAAAAACGGGTGATGGAGGTAAATTTTACCCCCACAACTGGTTTTTCATCAATCAGCACTCAGTGTCAAAGCGATGTTGCTCGTATGAAGAGCCGGGCTAAGAACACTTACATTAAAGGTGCCGACATTCAGTGTCGCTACTGACTATGATTACATTGTGCCCAAGGCCTTTATTCTCGAAAAGTAGTTGCATAAAAAAAAACTAGGAAAATGCTATAGTATATGTGACGCATACTACAGTATAGTATTTCTCTAATTTTTCGTATAATAGAGGCCCAAGTCTCGCGCTTTGGTTCGAATCTCAGAGTGTTCTAATCTTTTTCTCGTGTTATCGCTTATTTCTTACACATATACCTTTAAAACTTAAACACAATAGGCACAGAGTCCTACATATAATAGAGAAGCACCATCCGATGTCCTGCTGTACCGATTTTTACTTGATTCCATTTTTTCTATAGATAGTTACGTGAATCTTCTAATTTCGATAAGTATCATTATTGTTAAATCTTGATATGTATATTGTAGTCTCCAAAGAAAATCAGTATTTTTTTGTAGTCAATAGAAATACTACTGTTATAAGAATCGCACTCCGTTTGCGGAATGACAGATGTAAACAGGTCACCATTTTTTCTTTGAAATTATTATTATTAATTATAATCTGTAAATATGTTCGGTGACGCTTCTCTGTTATATCTAGGACTCTAGCACAGGCAACACGGGATATAACGAGCCGTCTAATCAGAGCTCTGGTGTGTAAGTGATAAGCTCTGGTAATTTGATATTATATCCCAGACCTCTGTTCGTTATTTCCTGTTGCCTATTGCCTGTGCCTATTTAAGCCTTTACTTATGGATCTAACCATGATGTAAGAAGAGGTTCTCGAGGATGCGCAGTAAGAAAGTGATTTGTAGTCCAAATTTAATTGACTATTCCAATATGCCAGCGCTATTATACGCAGAAAAATGCATTGAAATTAAAATTTTTGATTGTTCCCAATATTGCTATCGCCATTATACGCAATGATATATCTTGTATTCTTACATTGAGTGTTTTTCATTTGATGATACAAATCGATACAAGTTAATACAAGTGTTGTTCTATCTTTGTCACTCTCTGTATGTCAAGAAAGATAGAACGCTTGTGTCGACTTGTGTCATCAAATGGAAAGCACTCATCGTTCGATGAACAGGCTGCATTCCAAAACTTATTGAAAATGTGTTGCAATCTTTTAGTTGCTGATTTTATGTATGTATATACACTCGTGCATTTCGAAACACAATCGAAACGCATACGAAGAGTGCATTCGTTTACGCAGCAGAGAGTATCATTTAATCCTTATTTAACACTCGGTGAACAACAAGGATAAAATAATATTGTACTTCTACGCTAATCGCTGCACAAACGATTGCAAGATTTCGATTGTGTTTCAAAATGCATTCATGTTGAATATGTAAAGGCATTTTCATTCGCGAGTGTAGACCGACAAGTCGACACAAGTCGACACAAGTGTCATTCTATCTTCTTTGTCACTCTCTGAATGTAAAAAAAGATAGAACAACGCTTGTGTCAACTTGTGTCATCAAATGAAAAGCACTCACCATGGATCTAACCATTTACGTTCAATTACGAGCAAGGCTGAGTTCCGAACCCATCGAAAAAAAATTGCTTCCTGTGACATCTGCTATACGGCACACTTAATCGGGTTTATGACACCTGTAGTTATGAAACTGGTCAATCACAGTCGTTACATTTTTCTGAGGAAACTATGATTGGCCAATTTCATAACTACGATGTTATTAAACCCGATAAGCGTGGTACAGTAGAGGTTGTAAGATGTTTTGTACATATATCAAAGTTATAGTATATAAGGGTATCAATCATAAAATTTTACCTAGAATAAAAAATGAAAAGTGAAAATTTTTACCATTGAAATTAATGAAGAAATTTTTCACTTTTCATTTTCCATTCTAAAGATCAAGTTTCATGATTGATACCAAGATCACATTTTTCAATTAATTCTGCTTTTTGTGTAGCCATGCGCAGCTCGACTCATTCGCTTGTCGCGTACAAAATGTTCAATTTCTCTCAACTTTTGCTGCGACGTCGCGATACTTGGAAAAATTATTGGTCATCTAAAAAGTATCCGCGGTACTTTGTCACTAGATATATGACCATCAACACACATCTAGTGACAAAAAACCGCGGATACTTTTTAGATGACTCAATATATATATGCTTATTGGACTGTGTTCGGAAATTTATCCAGGTGCATCCATATACAATATTATATATTCTCATTTAACATTTGGTGAACAACAAGGATAAAACGATATATTGGGTCATCTAAAAAGTATTCGCGGTTTTTTGTCACTAGATGTGTTGATGGTCAACACATCTAGTGACAAAAAACCGCGGATACTTTTTAGATGACCCAATAGATGCACTCGAGTGAAGGCAACCTGAATGTGTTGCGCGTCGCGTATTGCGTGTTGCGCCTCGTGCTGGTGTGCAAGAGCCATAAATGGTTACAACATATTTTTTTAATGAGTTTTAGAATACAATCTGCTCATCAAGCGAGTGATTCTTACTTATGGATTCGTAAGTAAAAAGCAATCGCTCGGTGAGTAGGCTACATTTCAAAAATAGAAAAAAATCTGTTGTAATCTTTTAATCGGTGAGTGTACATGTTAAAAGAACAAGTCATTACATTCCATTTTGAATCGATTTAAAAAATATATCTGCCTTCACAAAACTCAATCTTTGCGCATTGAAATTTGCTAACAAATATTTAAACTTCACTAATGTGGCGTTGTTAATTGCGGCGCTCGAGTTAGTTCTTTTTCCCGGCTTTCCTTTCTATTTCTCTCTCTCTGGCGTTCTGCGTGCGGACTTTTTGTAAGCCTCAGCGATAGATTATAAGTTAATGCTCGGTGAGATTAATAATCATCCTATGTTCACTGCGAGGTTGACATACTGCTCATGTCATTAAGTAATTGTTAGCGTCGTCAGATAAATGCTTATATTGTAGATTTTCTTAGTTTCTCATATTCTATTAGGTGTACAACTTTGCTTCCGCCGTTTTTTTTTACGAAATTCGAGGCTTTATTGTAAAAATACTGGTTATACATTTATGATTCAAAGTATTGTCCATCGCTGGCCACTTTCTCCCATCTTTCGGGCAGCGTACGAAAAAACTAGTCATCTTTTGAGGCGATCCATGAATCGATCCAATTTTTTACTTCTTCATAAGACCGAAAGTGCTGGTCAGCCAGGTCGTGTGCCATTGATCGAAACAAGTCAGAGGGAGCAACGTCTGGAGAATATGGCGGGTGGGGTAGGACTTCCCATTTCAACGTTTCCAAGTATGTCTTGACCACTTTCGCAACATGGGGTCGAGCATTGTCATGCTGCAAAATCACTTTATCGTGTCTCTCGTTGTATTGCGGCCGTTTATCTTTCAATGCTCGGCTCAAACGCATCAATTGCGTTCGATACTGATCACCTGTGATTCAGTCGGTTTTAACATCTCATACACTACGCCGAGCTGGTCCCACCAAATACAGAGCATGACCTTGGAGCCGTGAATATTCGATTCGGCCGTCGACGTGGAAGTATGGCCGGGAATTCCCCATGATTTTCTGCGCTTGGGGGTTATCGTAATGAACCCATTTTTTTTCGTCCCCAGTCACAATGCGATACAAAAATCCCTTCCGTCTTTGCCTTTCAAGCAGCTGTTCACAAGCAAACAAACGCCGTCAATATCTCTCGGCTTCAATTCATACGGCATCCAATTTCCTTGCTTCTGAATCATTCTCATGATTTTGAGGCGTTTTGAAATGGCTTGTTGAGTCACTCCTAATGATCGTGTCAATTCTTTTTGATTTTGACACGAGTCTTGATCAAGTAATGCCTCTAAATCTGCATCTTCGAAGATCTTCTCTTTTTCACCGCTATGCCGGTCTTCGATGTCACAATCACCATTCTTGAAGTGTTGAAACCACTCATGACACATTCTTTCACTAATAGCAGCCTCACTCATAAATAAGTACTTGAGAGCATTCGATGAGTCTCAGCTGCAGATTTCTTCATATTAAAGCAGAAAATTCAAACCTCCCGCAAATGACGAGAATTTGACTCGTAAACTGACATTTTCAATCGAGAATAACTTTATGATGCAGACACAAATCGACTAATGTTTCTATGGGGTTATGTTGACAGATGCCCAAGTTTATTGTATGACGTCTATGATCTATTTATTTCAATCACTACTTACCGCTAAAGCCATCTATAGGAAAACGGCGGCAAAATTGTAAACCTAATAACCTAGCAATGCGATACCGATATTTGAGCCGTCATACACACGCAATCACGTCTCTACTTTTGTAATCTGTACTTTCTAAACAATCATTTAAGTTTATATTAAACCGCCATATCATATGAGTCAGAACCAATGAGTAACATTTATTTGCAAACCTTATGATTCTCCGCCAATTGTCTTTCGCCATTAGTCATCGTCGACGCCCAGACATGCTCGGCGCCACAACATAGCCACACTAAATTTGCAACTGCAGTCATCTATTGTGAGCGATGGAAAATAATTTTATTATCTTGATGAGCGGCGGAAATTAAGTTTATCAACTTATATATATATATGTGTGTGTGTGTGTGTGTGTGTGTGTGTGTGCATATGTGTGGTAAGTCATGGTATATAGTATTCTTGAACATAGAACAATTTCCATGCAACACAGAAGCTTGCAGTAACATTGTAATGTTACTTCTTGAGATATTGCAAATATTACGACGCGATGATATAAATGCGCAAGAATAAATCAGAATAAACACTAACGCTTTTTGAGGCATTGAGCAATTAGTCTGATCGCTCCTATTTTTAAATTAATATTTTATTCTTCATAAAAAAGATAGGATCTTCAAATTTTCTAACCTTATGTATTATAATAGTGTAATTCATAACACATAAAATCAGAAAATTTTAAGGTCTATCTTTTTTATAAGGAATAAAATAAATTAGTTTAAAAGTATAAGGAATGATTAAAATAATCGTTCAATGCCTAAAAATAGCGCAGTATTTCTGATTTATTTTTAAAAATTTATAATATTTTATTAAAAATAAACATTTGTTAACATTCATTAACATTGATTTATTAACATTTTATTAAAAATGTGTTGCATACCATCCGTTAAATGGAAATCCATTAAATTATTAATCCATTAAATTATCAATTGTCCGTTAAATTATCAATTTATAGTGGGCCTTGTTCTTCTATTTGTTGTCTTCTATTTCCTCGGTTTGTTCATGTTGCTCGTTTTGTTCATTGCAATAATTTCTGGTCCGCTTCTCTGGTCCGATCACGTAGTGTATGAATACTTTTGCGATGACGTTGTTTCGCAGAACGCAAAGCTTCTCTAGCTATTGCTTGAAACTCCGTTCGAGTTGGCTTGTTAAAATTGTTACAGCAAGTAACATCTAAATATATATACAATATATTTTTGTTATTTATATGTAAAACGAGATAATTTATACGTATATCTCCTTAATTAATTAATTATTTTATTTATTTATTTATTTATTTATTTATCTATTTATTTCTTTACTTATTTATTTATGTATTCATTAATTTATTTATATATATTTTTATTTATTTATTCATTTTTTATCTGTTTATTTATTAAATTTGGAGATTGATAAATATATAGAACATATTTTCGTAGTTGATTACAGATTTTCCATAAATTTCATATAATTATCAAGTTTCTAGAAAATTTTTTAAATATAAAATGAAATAATGAAATAATGAACAATAAAAATAATGAATAATGTCTAATTAATAATGAATAATGAATAATGAATAATGAATTTTTAAATAATGAATTTTAATAATAAAAATAATTTATGCAATAATTTTTGTTGCTATGAAACAAAAATGTAATCGAATTCGCTATTAATAATATAATGTCTTACCTATCAATATAAATCTTGCCGAGCGAAATCCAGGTGGATTCTACAGCAACAAAAATTATTGTATAAATTATTTTCATTATTAAAATTCATTATTTTAAAATTCATAATTTATTATTCACTATTATTCATTATTAGTTAGTCATTATTCATTATTTTTATGTTCATTATTTCATTATTTCATTTTATATTTCAAAAATTTTCTAGAAACTTGAAAATTATATGAAATTTGTGGAAAGTCTGTAATCAACCGCGAAAATATATTGTATATATTTATCAATCATACTTACATATCTATCAATCTCCGAACTATTTTTTCAGAGACGAGGCAGTAGAAACTAGAATAGAAACAAAAAGAGGGGGAAGGAGAGAGAGGGAGAGAGAGGGAGAGAGGGGGGAGAAGTGAAACATACAATTACAACACTTACATTACATTATTACAACGTAGAAACTAGAATAGAAGTGGACCTTATTCGGCCAAATTTATATTGAGATATTAAGAAATTTTTCATGTTTAAATATATATGTATATTGAGTCATCTAAAAACCGCGGATACTTGTTAGATGACTCAATATATATGTAAGTAATATATATGTATATGTTGTTGGAAAAGTTTCTGCAAACAATATGAAAAAAAAACATGTAAAATCCGGTAAATGGCTTTATTATTTTTCGAAGTATTCGCCTTTAAGATTGATACATTTTTGCATACGCTCGAACTAATTTTCGAAGCATTTTTTCCACTCTGAGGTTGTAACCTCAGAAATCAATGTACGAAATGTTTCAACAGCTGCTTCAGACGACTCAAATCGTTCATCACGCATCTTCTTTTTAATGTTTAGGAACAAAAAGAAGTCATTAGGTAATAAATCAGGTGAATATGGACAATGAGTCATCAATTCGACATTTTTACTGGATAAAAAATCAACGGTTTGACGTGCTGTGTGACAGCTGGCGCTGTCATGATAAAGGATGATACGACGATTTCGGTTTGTTTTACGCAATTCATTTATGACTTCTAGCAAACAAATTGTTGTGTACCAATCAGTATTTACAGTCCTTCAATCCTCTAAAGTCACGGTTGCCTCATGTCCGGTATAACTGAAGAAACGAGTAATTATTTGCTTGGCAGCACTGCGTGAATGAACAACTTTTGTTGGTTTCGGTTCATTTTGAAATATCCAAACAGTGAATTGTTGTTTACTTTCGGACTCATACGAATAGATCCATGTTTCGTCCCTAATAACGATGTTGTAGACCAAATTTGACCGACCTCGGTTGAATTTCTTGAGCATTTCTTTGCTCCATTTAACACGAGCCTATTTTTGAACTTCGGTCAAATTGTGTGGGATCCAACGACTGCAAAGTTTTCGTACGCTCAAGTGATCATGCAAAATCGTATTACTTTCATGTCAATGCCTAAGGATGCCTGAATCTCGCGGTATGTCATATACCGGTTTCGCTCAATCATTTCACGCACAGCATTAATGGCAACAACAGACGTGAATGAACAATCTTTACGGAATTCGTCACAAATAAAGGTACTTCCACGCTGGAATTCGACAAACCAATTATAAACAGTCCTATCCTTGGATGGTGCTTCATCTCAAAATGAAGTTGATCGATGCATTGTTTCGGAATTAGATTACATTTGTAGTCGTAAAAGATCATTGCCCGAAAATTTTCATTCAATCACGAGAAATTTCCATTTTCTCACAAAATAACTTCTTTTAAAATTTAAAATATTATGCAAACAAACTAGTTGGATTGGATACAAACTGTCAACTGAATTATAGGTTAAAAATATCTAATTTTGCGGATATGATAGTAGCAGAACGTTGGCGCCATTGGAAGTATTAGATTGCAGAAACTTTTCCAGCAGCCTACGTATAAGTATTATACGTATAAACATGTATAAATATTTATAAACATGTATAATTATATATGACATACGTAATATTTTTAGTGAAATATTTTTATTACATTAAAAAGTAATTTTACAAAAGAAAAAAGTATGGACATATTTCATGTATTATATAATATATTATATATGTTTATAAATATTATATATATTATATTAGGTGTTGGAATTAATTCGTAGCGTTTTACAAGTGATGGGAAGTACTTTCACTCTTTCGAATTATGTAAACAGGTGATCCTTTAGTTATATTAGGTGTTGGAATTAATTCGTAGCGTTTTTTAATGAAAGAATGTTATTTATTTCACATGAGCATTAAAAAATACATTAATGAAAGTACTTCCCATCACTTGTAAAACGCTACGAATTAATTCCAACACCTAATATTATATCCTGTAATGTTATTATATCCTATAATTTTTTGTTGTGCAATATATAAAATATTTTTCCTAGTATAAAATTTTTCATGCTTAAATATATATAAATACGTATAAATATGTATAAATATTTATAAACATATATTAGGTGTTGGAATTAATTCGTAGCGTTTTTTAATGAA